AAAATACCGTGGTTTATAGCTTTTTTTTTTTTTTATAGGATCGGGTGACAAACGAGCACACAGTCCACCTGATGGTAAGTGGTCACTGTGACCCATAGACATCTACATCTATCCTCAATAAAGACTCAAGATGCAGATGCGTTGTCACCCGTGAGGACTAAGATGGAATGCCTCTTTGCCAGTAAAAAGGGTCTCCGGTTCTCTACACTCACCATACGAAACACAGCAGCGTTAAGCTGCTATTTTACGCCGGTTTTCTGTGAGAGCGTGGTCCTTCCCCGGTCGAGCCGAACCATTCGTGCTACAACCATAATATAGCTGCAGCATGGCTCTACCACGTATCAAAGCTGGCAAACAAAGTGTTTGGGAATACCTTGTTTTTGTTTATGTAGAAGATATGTTTTGAATTTATTTTTGAAATTGTAATTGGTGTTAAGATTTCTTATTGGTGATGGGATGTTATTCCAACACTTTGTTATTATAGTGAGTGCTACAAAGCGATAATATCCATAAAACTGGTCTGATTCAATCTTGTACGCACAGTTAAGGTAGCTCGCTTGTTACTGGACGTTTACCAATCATAGCGCTCTGTTCGATCCTATGCGCAACAAAGAGTCATTTGAGTATTGTTCATAATATTATGAATGACTTACCATAGTGAATGCACTAAGTTATATCTTACTCATCATAGCGTTGCTCATATACTAGCGTTGCTCATATACTTAATAAAGTAATGTTTGTGAATAATGGGATTTATATATTATTAAATTTTAGTATACACCTAGCGTTCGCCCAGAGCATTTTGCAATTTTTGTAAGTACGCCTCACGTGCATGGCGTCAATACGCTCAATAGGCGATTTCGTAGAAATAAGGTTTCATATATTTTACTTTCTAATTTAATAAAGATGTTAAAAATGAATTAGCTAAGATTGAAGAACACACCCCTCCCTCCCTCAATTGCGTGCACTGTCCCCGTCGCCACTTTTCTCAGCACCACTACTACCAACTAATGTGCTCTTCAAACTAGGTAAGGCACATTATTTTATTTTATTTCGCTGATCTTGGCTAATTAACTTTCACGTCTTAATATAATCAATTTCCGCAAAGAAACGCCTGATTCTATTAATTATCTTCTAATTAATTTATGATTATTTAAATATATATATATATATATATATATATATATATATATATATATATATATATATAAATATCCACATATGAAGCAATTTATGAGGGAGATCTAATTCAGCAGTAAAATTTTAATAGGCTGTGACGGTATTTGTTACTAATCAAAACACATCCAGCCACTTCATATTACAATATTCTAAACAACAATGTCAAGAGTTTTCATTGTTTCCAAATGTTTTTGCAGTTTGTTTGCAGACCTTACGTGTATAAGGCGGTGTGTTCCGAAATAGAAATAACACAAAAGATCTCTTGTTACGTGGATAATGACATACATGTTCGTACATAGCGAAGAGTTACAAAGGGAAAATGGGACAATTTCGTATACACGCATATAATATTTCACTACAGGCTGGAATGAAAACCATTTACTGTTTTCCTTTACTTAAATTACATTGAAGCGTTTTTTACTTAAAATAGAATAATATCCAATTAGGTCGCTTATAAAATAGCCAATAAATATTAGATTAATGTTAATTGCTACTTAGCATTAATCTGGGGTGTAATTGAATTCACGTGGTTAATACCGTAATATGCAGTAATGTGCTATACTCTCATAAAGTGTAAATATTTCATAATAATACTATTTCTCAAGCTTGAGGAAATTCTTTCATGTTATAAATAATTATAATTTTCATACTTGCAGATTTGTTAAACATTTTATACTTGGTTAAGAACTTATGGGACGATATCTACCCGCGCCCGCAGTGTAGAAGAACTGATATTTTATTTCAAAACTTATGAAATTGCAGTTCTATTGATTCGTGCCACCGTAGAGGTGATAACCTCCGTGCAAACATGACGGGAGATGGTTGAGCCAAACTGTAGCTATATTATGATTGAAGTACGAATGGGTCGGTTCTACCGGAACAGGACCACGCTCTCACGGAATGCCAGTGTAAACTTGCAGCTTAATGCTAGTGACTTTCATATGGTGAGTGTAGAGAACCGGAGACCCTTTTTACTGGAAACAAGCAATTCCATCTTAGTCCTCTGGGGTGATAACTTGTCTACATTTTGATAATTAATCGAGGATAAATGTAGATGTCCATGAGCCACAGCATCCACTTACCATCAGGTGGACTGTATACTCGTTTGCCATCCTTATACAAAAAAGAAATTGGTTGCCTCTAAAGTTTCTAGGCCACTGTGCACCTGTTTAACCTACTCTTGATGACCGAAGAGCGCGCAGACGACAGAAGTTTCGCGATTCTGTTAGTTACATGCTGAAGTAGTGACAATAGCAAATAATCGCTTCGTCTTGAAATTTATTACTATAGTCTTCTATCTACATTTCTTATTACTTTACGCACACTATGCCAGATCGCGGTCTCGCTACCCCTGCGGGTGCAAGCAAATGTTGAGCGTAGCTAAGATTCGCATAGTCCCTAAAGCGCGTCTACTACTTCTAACATATCGCTAAATTATTGTTTATATGCAGTGCCGAACTTGCAGGCAGATTATTATGTTAAATTATTAAGAATTATTAAATTAAAATAACATATTTAATAATAAACAGTAATATAATTAAAATAATATCAAATTTTCGCTTGATTCCACAAATGTTTTTGAGAATTCTAGTCTCCCCTGAGTTCTACCGCTGTTTACGGATTCCTTATTCTACGGACTATTATTTACGTTATATTATTTACGGATTCCTAATCCTCCAATGAGGAATATCTTAAGCTTTTTTTTGTGTTTGTTTTGGATTTAAATTCAGTCCTTACTTTGCTAAGCTCCTGATCAGGTCCCTCTGGTTAATGAAACTAGAATGGGACGAGACTCCCCTCCGAATATTGTATCTTCATGGTTGCGTTACAAAAATGAACTTCCTTCTTTACAAAGGTTAAAAATATCGTATCATTTCGGTGTAACTGACTTCAGCATGACTTTAAACTGGATTCATTTCATCTCCCTATCACATCAATGTATCACATAAATTTGTTGGTAATCGAATAGCTCAAATTCATAACTATATTTCCGCATGGTATTTTCACCATAATGCTGTAAAAGAAAATTCTTGTGATTGTTTATCACGTGGATTATCACAAGAACAAGTAATGCGTCATCCATCGTGGCTTCAAGGCCTTTCTTGGGCAAAATTACCGCATACCGATTGGCCTCTAAAAACCTCTGAAATTGATTCGCATATGCAATTACCAGACATTAAAAAAATTATTAGTGACGGCAACGGAATCCTCTTTACTTCATTTGCTTGCTTTACGATGCTCATCATGTTCTAAACTTATACTACGTATAATAGTAAACATTTATCGATTCGTTCGTAAATTACCTAAATAGAATCTTATTGAATTGAGTCACTTACAAAGAGCTAAACACAAAGATATTTAAGTAGTATTAATAGACCGGAAGTAGTAGTATAGACATAAGCAACAAAATTGTTTTCTGTTATTTTTGTCCTATAAGATATATTTCGTATTTATGTCATTTAGTCTTAGTGAAATCGTCAAATGGTCAAGACTCGTTCGTTTCCTAAATTAAAAAAAAATATTTTTAAAGAAAATATGCCCGATTGTGCATTAAGGTATTGTAAGTCCTGATATGGAGCAAAAACTGAATGTGATTTCGGTTTATTATCACAAGAATAATGTATATTTACACAATAATTTTTAAATGTTATTATTTTTGGTAGATTGTTCTAGATCATTTATCATTATTATAATAACCAACCTCTGTTATCCAGTAAGGTCACTATTTGTTTACCAAATGAGTTAATGATTGACAATGTGTGTCGATTGGTCTTATCGATAAAAAATATACAGTTGCCGATAAAATCATCTACAATATTTAAGGAGGTGACACAGTAAACTATACCAATAAAGAAATCGGATGGGCCTATTGAGGCAGACGACCGTTGTTTCTTAACATAAATGTCGGCCAGTACAACTAGTACAACCATTCAACACGATAGCTTTCTTTTTAAATATTTTAATACAATATGAGGAGCATTGCAGATGCGTTGCCGGTTTCATGAAGATCCCTAAGTACTATCGATCCGTAAAAACCGCCGATGGTAAGGGATTCAGCGAGAACTGTCTGTCTGTCAAGACCCCTTTTCTCAGGAATGCGTGAAGGTATCAAGCTAAAATTCATATCAAATACTCAAATATACTGTCCCTTGGAGCTGTAAAAAAATCAAAGTTCTAAACCAACGCAATCAAAAGATACAGCGGTTTATGCCGAAAATTTTTGACATTCGCAAGAGAGTCAAAACCTACATGGTACTTTCCGTGAACTCAGAATCTTAAAATTTGGTATGAAGCAACGTATTATAGCACAGATAAAGGAAGCATTGCGAAAAGCATAAATGTTTAGTTACATTATATAATAAAAATATTTTTAATAATTTAAAACTTATATGCCGACGGATTTGTTGGGAACCCTCGGTGCGCGAGTCCGACTCGCACTTGGCCGGCTTAAAAAAAAAAGTCCCGCTGGGTTTTTGCAGGTTCTTCCAAGGGCAGAGGTATTTTCCACATCAGTGGTAAATTAAGCATAATAGTGACTTTCAGTAAGTATTATATATAATCTATATTGCAGCATTTTTGGTAAAATATAAAAATATACAATATTATAAAAACTATAATAAAAAAATACTAAAACTAATAACTTAAATTATCATACAGATGACTGTATGATAATTTAAGTTATTAGTTTCAGTTGAAAAAAAAATGTGTTCAAACGGTAAATATCCCAGATCGGCAACAGCCAACAGGCAAGCCAGCGTAATTTTATAGGCAACTAAGTACTCCCTACGATAAAAATATTATAGGTTCATATTATCACTCACATTTGACTCGAAAATGCAGCTCATTGGAGACTGTCTCTCCCTCCGCGTTGAGTGCGGAGCAAGCGTACCGTCCGCTGCTGTAACGTGTCACTTTCTGCAGCACCAGACTTTGGTTACTGTGGAAGACGCGTGCCGTCGCGTTGTGCGCCAACGGCTTGTCCTGTTCGAAATTTAAAATACAAAAGAATCGTTTAAAAGTTTAAATAGTTCATTAAAATATTTTTTGTCATGTTCGAAATTCAAAATGCAAAAAAAAAGTGTTGAAGTTCATAGTACGTGGTAACAATATAACTTTAGTGCGAAGTTCATTCATTAATTTAGAGAGCAAAGATTGGACATAGGCCTCTACCATGAATTTTTATAGGTAGAAACATGTCCCATTATTGCCAAGTATGCGGCTTGGTAACCACAGTTTCTTTATTATGTAGTGTTGTTATCAGAAAGATACTGCGAAAAATCTACTGTTATGAAACGGGAGATGTTTCGCAGAAAATGATTCCCTCTGTTGCATTTTACTACACCCAATGGTATAATAAGAGGTAAATAAGGCAAGTAATAGTAGAATTATTAATATTACAAAATAAACACTAGGATGATATTTTGTTTTTGATGAATGATAGCTTGCGGTATGAAGACATCGTAAGAGTAATGAATACTCCATTTCGTCCCATGGGAGGCGTAAGACGTACTGGTAAAAGACGAATTTGGGAAATGCCAGAAAAAAGTTACAGCTTCCGATAGATAGCGTTATAATTCTCGACAAAATTAGGTGATCGATTTTCTTACGCCGACTCTACATGATAAACGAAAGTCTTAAAGTAAAAAAAATAAAGTTACAGCATATATATGTCCCACTCCTGGGCTCAGGTCTCTTCTCTTCTCAATAGCTTTAGGGCAAGGAATCCGCTGCGCTGCCCTTATTCGTGTTGGTTGACTTCACATATCTTTGATATATTATTTTTAGATAATAAGTAATAAAATCAGATGTTACTTTGCGAATATCCATTAGCACTAATGGCACTAATGCCTGGGATTAGTGGTGACTGCGACAGTGCACGCACTTGGGGGCGGGAGGTGCTCTTCAAAATATAGGTAAGACACATTATTTTGTATTATTAAATGGATTTTAAGAAGTTAATTTTTAAAATCTTAAATTATTTTTTAACTACTCAGACATGCAGATTTTCTCACGATGGTTTCCTTCACTACCGTGCAGGTAGTAAATCATCGTTTAAAATTGCAATTAACAATCTCATTGGTGCCGGCAGGGATTGGACCACGAGTACTGTGTAATTTATAGTAAGCTCTTAGTTACTGAGCGAAAAGGGCTCTCAGAACAGAAGGCTTATTTTTAACGTTACCTATCAAAAGTACACTTATAAACATAGGCCTCTTCCATAGATTGCCATATAATATATGACATAGTTGCCACGATTGATCGTGGACAAACGTAGTTTTTTTTAATTGTTATAACGTAGACACTTCTGCCTATCTCCTAGTTTGTTTATCTCTTTTAGCTTTTACGGCACCTACGAGACGATATCGGTAAGTGGATATTCTAACAACGCCACAACACGGTAAACAGAAGTCTTAAAACACAATAATTGCACTGTACAAAAGAGCATCTCAAAACGGGATGTCATTACAAAACTCACTACACAGAACGTTCTCGCGTACACAAAACCTATTTACAGCGCTGACAAAGCTGCTCATTGTGCTCTAAAGGACTTACTATTTCCTGTTCGGAACTGAAAGGATTAATAATAGTTAGAGTAGTTTCGACTTGTCCAGAGACGCAAGCCCGCTGCAGGTAATGGTTCCTCTGAGTATACAAAAGCGCCATTGACGTTGCTCAAAGTCGTTGCATGTACAAGAGATAGGATTGACAATGCAACTCGACTTTGTTAATTTTTTTTATATGTTATTTTTAGAACTTTCAGATTATTCCTGATCACATAAATTAGCTTACTGAGTTTTATTACAAAGGAGACGGATACAATTCCATACATTCTTGGGCCTAGGTGTTAACACGATGAAAGCTTAACATATAAAAAATTCATAGTTGAAAATTTGGTAATATTTGTCAATCTAGTAGCTGAATTATTGAAGATTAAGTAAAAGTTAGGTTATATTACCTACACTGTCACAATCGATTTTTAACTATTGGTAATTTAGTTATTTAACTTCTAAATTAATATTTTTCACATGTTAAAGGTGGTAAAAGCTTTAAAGAACAATTATATTTGTAAACACGCATCGCAATCGCACTCGTACTTGTACTTTGCCTATAATGATTTGCTCAAATAACCTCAGCTCTTAAATTATAAAATGTATTTTATTTTGTATTATAATAAGCCAGTGCTTGACTACTATCCCACTAGAAGGTAAGTGGTGATGTAGCCGAAGATATTAAAGCGTACTGAACTTTTTTATAGAACAGATACAGATGCGTTTTAACCCCTGAGGGCTATGATAGAATGTCACGTATCAAGTAAAAAGGGTCTCCGGTTCTCTACACTCGACGAACCGCAGCAACATTGAGCTACTATTTTGTGCTGGTATAAACCACTACACTAATATTAACATATTTTTTCGGCTATAACTCCGCCTCCTTCGTAAGTTCTTACACAGACTTAAATTCCCGCATCCTATTTAACGTATACATATATTTATATATATATATATATATATATATATATATATATATATATATATATATATATATATATATATATATATATATATATATAAAAAATAAAGTAAGTATTATCAAAAAAGCTCAAGGTGACAATTAGTAGTTACAATAAAGTTTTTATCTCATATTATTCTACCTCTAAAGATGGATTTTTTTTTAATTTAAATTGAACTACTCATAAATTATAGTCTATCCAATAAATAAGGATCCTTAAAATCGGTAAATAACTGGCAAACATACGTATAAAAATGCCGCTTGGCTGAGCTCCTCATTATTTTGTTGCAAAATTTGACGCATTAGAACCAAAGGATTCGCTCGGTCGTTCGTAAGTTGTACAGCAAAGGATTGAAATAATTTTCCAGCATCTGTCTTTCCATCTGATTATAATGTGGGTGGGTGTTATGCTAAGTCAGTGCGTTTAACCATCAGGTGGGATAGTAGTCAAACACACGCTCATATAAGCAAAAATTAAGAACCTTCTCCGCTTTTGAAGTCGGTAAAAAGTCGAACCCTATACTCATGCTGACGAAGTTTTGAAGTTTTTTTAAAGGATAGGGTGACAAACGAGAATAGTCCACCTGATGGTAAGTGGTTGCTGTAACCCATAGACATCATCGACATACGAGTACATCTATCCTCAATAAAGGATAAAAATGCAGATGCATTGTCACCCGCGAGAACTAAGATGGAATGCCTCTTTTCCAGTAAAAAGTAGTAGAAGTATACGCTTTATTTATTTTACTATTTTGAGAATTTGAAATATAATGTTCTGTATGTCGATCATGATTGTACAAATATGTACTTGCGTATCTTTCCCACAACATTCGTATAAAATTTGTTTTGAAAAATAATAAATTATTTTTATTCAAAGTCAGCCTTAGACGAAATTGGTTTCGTTATAAAATACTCGAGCGTTGCATTCGACCACATTTTTATGCTAGTGATTCGAATATTAATGTCTATTAAATTCACAACGAGTTTTATCGTGGCATAATCTCGTCGCTGATCGTGATAGTTCACGGGGGAGTCCCCTTAATTTAAACATATGCTGGCACCTCATTTTTTGATTGAAATGCAATCTCTATTTTTTAAACAGAACATAAAATAAGATTGTTATATTTTTTTTATCATCATCATTACAGTCCTTAACAAGTTAACTGCTAAACATAGGCCTAACCCAAGGAATGCCATCAAGCACGGTCCTCAGCAACCTGCATCCACCAAATTCCCGCATGTTTTTCCAGGTTGTCACTCCATCAAGTGGGATGCCACCTTACACTTCATCTACCGGCACGGGGCTGATACTCGAGTACCTTTATTTCATGTCGGTTGTCGTTTCTTCGTGCTGTATAGCCGGGCCATAGCCACCTAAAGTATGTTGTCTTTTTAGTCATAAATTTAGTATCCTTTCTCAAAAAGGAGTAGGTAAACAATTCGAATGTATTTCTTTTTTGCTGTTTTTTTATGTGTCACCTAATTTTTTTTTACGTGAACTGTATTTGATGATTCTTTTTTCATTTGAAAGCTGGTGCTTCTCGTATCTTTGTTTCTTCCATGTACATTTAATAAAGGGTGCCCATTAGTTTTTGAGTTATCCTCAATTTTGAAGTCAGTTGTACAAAATGTTTCTTGTTGAGCACCCTACTCTTTTAATATTAAGTAAGTAAATATTAAGTTTTCGGCTAAATCATCACTTACCATCATGTGGGGTACACTTTATCAATATAAACTTTACCTATGTAACTTTAAAACATTACAAAACATAAATCACTTTCTTTTTAAATTAAAATCAAAAGGCTTCCTAATTCCTGATTTTTTATTTTGTGAAACTTCCAGTTTCATACTCGTCCAACGGTGTAGAAATGCGCCCAAGTAAGTTATATATAAGTTTAGTTTTACTTAAATGTCAAATATAAGTTATAAAAGTAACACTACATAAACCTATCTCTCAAGTTGGACCAAAATGCACACATTGTGCAAAACTTCATTGAAAACAGTGCAATAGTTTAGGAGTCCATCGCGGACAAACAACGTGACACGTAATTTTTATATATTTTTTTTTATAGGATAAGGGTGACAAACGAGCACACAGTCCACCTGATGGTAAGTGGTTGCTGCGGCCCATAGACATCTACCTCTATCCTCTGTTACAAATCAAAATGTAGATGCGTTGTCACCCGTGAGGACCAAGATGGAATGCCTCATTTCCAGTAAAAAGGGCCTCCGGTCACCTGCACTCACCAAGCGAAACGCAGAGGTAAACCTCTACTTCACGCTGGTTTTCTGTGAGGTCATGGTACTACCCCGGTTCGAGCCGGCCCATTCGTGCGACAGCAAAAGCTGCCGCGTGGCTCTACCACTGTATAAAGATGAATGGAGTTACATTATTAGCTTACAATTTGTTGGATTGTCTCAAACTGTAACACAAAAAACAGTTCTTATCTTTTCTGTCGACTTCCAAAAAG